CTTGAAGTGCAAGCGAGAGCGCGGAACGAGCGACAAAGAGGCACAATCGGCCTCCGCGTTCGGCAGCGTTCGACATCTGTCTCTCTCCTACTTGAGTGAGCGATGCGTCCGCGTGGACAGCTGCTATACAATAATACATTTCCATTTACCTCCTTCTCTATATCCATACAAAATATCTATCAAACAAATAAAATTAAAATTTTCTTTTGAAAAAATGAAACCATTCCATCAGTATTTTCTTATGACGTTGTCACGTTCAATTATCGTCAGTAAACCGACTTTACAGACAACCGATTTTTTTGCAAAAGATAAATTATAAACAAATTTCATATATGCCTTTGAACCTTGAACGCAAATAAGAGGAAAAATTATAACAACGTGATTACAACAGAAGCCCGCGTAAATGATTTCTTTGTAGATGAGAAGTACTACTTAATTTATAAAAAGATCGATTGTAATCTAGAAAATGGTTAAAAAGGATTACTTTCTTGCACAAATTATCACAAAAGCCGCAAATTTGGTTTATCTAACAAATAAAGCTGATATTTCGGTCAAAATTTTTAAATATGTCGTATACATGTATGTGTGCCCACTTGATGAGATAATATAAGTCGCAAAAGTGATAGAAACTACCAATTTCCCATATCTAAGAAAGCAGATAAGTCTGTATGAGTAAACTAGAAGAAACCACTTCTGTGCTCGCGAAAAATTAATTTGGAAATGTGGACGACGACTGCGGTGAATAGCTAAAAACTGCTTCTGTTTTGGTGTTGTAGAAGAATGATGAACATAACGTAGATAGAAATCGTTAGAACTGAGAAGTTATTGGAAATAATACAGCATGAATGTCAACGAGAAAAACAAAGATAGACTTGAGTCATGAAGGGCTAGATAGAGACGTGTGCATTAGAAGCAGAAACAGGGGTAAAGAGGAAAGAAGATGATCTACATTAGATTACTGTTGGAAATAGTAAACCAAAGGGCGCGAGGAAAACCAGAAATAGACATGAGGTATGAAGGACTAGAAGATGGAAATGCGAATTGACTTAGCATAGAAAGGAGTATCTCCATTCAACTAGTCTTCGGATTGACTACCTTATGATCATGATCCCTTTACACCATAAAGTACCAAGGATAAGGTTCAATAAATTAAAAAATATCAATTCATCAATTCATTTAGTGTAACTAACTTCATCAACCATCTTAAATAACCAAATAATGTTATCCTCAAAAAATATACGAATTATTACGTATCTAGAGAACTACTTTCGATTTTCGAAGTATTGTTACAACCCGTACGAAACATTACAGAATTTTGCGAATACTTTCGATGATTAATGAAAAAAAAAGACCTCACCAGACATATTAAAAAAAACTTTTAGGTAATTCATTCCCACCAGTCACTAATGCTAGTGGACAGGCAGTCCCTTCGGCTACGCATAGAACGAAAGGCTCTCTTCAATCTCTTTTTATGAATTGTGGGAATGGGTGAGTGGTGAAATGTTAGTGTCCCAGAGCATTTGTATAGTAAGTGGATATATATAAGTGATCGAAGAAAATCGAACCGGTGTTTTCCCGAATTCTAAGCAAAAACATAAAATTGTGAACCATGACACTCAATCTAGACATACTAAATTAGATACTTATGCGTACATAATGAAACGATAGGGAATATAGAGATAGCAGACGAAAAATTAGAAAAGGTGACTGATTTTTGAGAACTAGGAAGTCAGAAAACAACGGTAGAAGGAGCAACCGAAAAAACAAAGGTTAGCGCAGAGTCGAGACGCTTTCAACAAAAAGAAGTCACCTCTATGCACTCAAACGATTAATTTAGAAATTTGAAAAAGATTGTTATATGCTGTATGGACGGTGGCCGCGACCGAAGGACACGGTTAGGAAGCGTTCGAAATGTGCTGGCGAATGATGAGGACAAGGTCACAAATGAGGAGGTATTACAAAGAATATGAGACAGAGATCACTAAGGAAGTCAATAAAAAATAGGCGAGATACGTTGGTAGATAGGACTCCCTCTCAGGAATAAAGGGTTAGTTAGAGAATGATAAAAGTTAAGAGGATCTAGGTAAACCTAGATTAGATTACTGTTCACAAATAGATAAGAATGTGGGATGTTCTACTTTTCAGGAAATGCGAAGATTGACTACCTTATGATCATGATTGTGCACAATCAAGAACTAAACGAGATGAATAGATTTCCCTTTACACCATAAAGTACCAAGGATAAGGTTCAATAAATTTGAAAATGTCAATTCATCAACTCATTTAGTGTAATTAACTTCATCAATAATCTTAAATTACCAAATAATTGTTACTCTCAAAAGATATGTGAATTATTACAGATCTAAGCGAATACTGCCGATTTTCGAACTATTGTTGCAACCCGTACGAAACATTACAGAATTTTGCGAATACCTTCAATGATTAATGAAAAATAAAAACACCCCACCAGGCATATTAAAAAAAACTTCTAGGTAATTAATTCCCAACAGTCACTAATGTTAGTGGACAGGCAGTCCCTCCGGCTACGCGTAGAACGAAAGGCTCTCTTCAATCTCTCTCAATGAACAGTGGGAATGGGTGAGTGGTGAAATGTTAGTGTCCCAGAGCATTTGTCGAACAAAATCGAACCGGTGTTCTCTCGAATTCTAAGCAAAGACATAAAACTGTGGACCTTGGCACTCAATCTAAGCATACTTAATTAGATACTTATGCGTACATAATGAAACGGTAGGGAATATAGAGATAGGAGGCGAAAAATTAGAAGAAGTGACTGATTTTCAGAGAACTCACGAGAGAAAGAGCAGTAGAGAAATAAAACAAAGGTTAGCGCAGAGTCGAGTCGCATTCAACAAAAAGAAGTCACTTCTATGCACTCGAAAGATTAATTTAGAAATTTGAAAAAGATTGTTAAATGCTGTACGGGTGCGGCCGAAGGACACGGTTCGAAATGTGGTGACGAATGATGAGAACAAAGTCACAAATGCGGAGGTATTAGAAAGAGTAGGAGAACAGAGATCACTAAGGATGTCAATAAAAAATAGGCGAGATAGGACTCCCTCTCAGGAATGAAGGGTTAATTAGAGAGAGATAAGAGTTAAGAGGATCTAGGTAAACCTAGATTAGATTACTGTTCACATATAGATAAGAATGTGGGATGTTCTAGTTTTCAGGAAATGCAAAGATTAGACCAAGATAGGAAAAAGGGGAGGTGCATGTCCAACCCGTCTAAGAACTGACAGCGTTATGATGATGATGATAATGAATGAAAAGGTGATAGAATTTCATGTACTTACTCGGTTGTTGTGTCAACTAATGAATTAGGTAAAATAGAAACCATATAAAATGAATAACTTAAATTCGTTTTAGTTTAAACTGTTATAAACCCATCTAATATTATAAACATATCTTTTCTTTCTACTTCTACGAAATGCTGACAATCGTTCTCTTCTATTACTCTTTAAAAATCTCACTTTTACAACATCCTTTAAAAAATATTCCTTCCTTACAATTTTAACAACCACCGCCTACATTTTCTTCAATTAACAATAACATTCTATAAAACTTCTCTCGCTTCGGCATTTCTGCATGTAATTTACCCTGAACCGGCAACCTATCCCAAAATTACAACACCCCTTATAAACCTCTTTTATACTTTTTACTTCAAAACTTCTTTTATTTATTCTATTTCCAAAATCTATTTGTATTAGTTTTATTACAACCGAACGTGTCTTTGTTACAGGCCGACAGTGCCCTTGCCTCAAGTTTTTTATTATTATTATTATTTTCAAAAGTTAAGTTCAAAAAACTGCACAAACCCCTCTACAAGAACACGTTTGGTCAACCCCCAGAAAGTGGTGGGAATTTAGAAATATAAGATAGTATCTAGACAGAAAGGAGAATAGAAGAAGAAATAAAGTAACAAACAGAAAAATTTATAAGATTTAGAACATTTTTGTAATTGAAAAATACAACATATAAAAGTGCAAACAGTACCTTATTTTAAGTTAAGTTAAATAGCTTAGGATCCAAGATCCTAACAAAACCAAAAAAACCTGCTGCATATATTTTGTAAGCGAATAGGTGCAATGATCGGTAAGAAAAAGGCACATCTACGTTATTTTTAGTACCTATGCCTAAAATTTCGTAAAAAGACTATTTTCAATAAGTATCTACTTAAGTGGAAAAAATGACGTACATTAAAATAACACGAGGCTTTTTAAAAGCTTTCCGATTAAAGTGAACCAAATGTTGGAGTCACGTGGCTTCTGAATGTCTCGGAAAGATGTCAGGCATGAAAATAAAAGATCGAGAGGAAAAAACTTTTCTACTAACAATACCCTCAACTGTCTTAAAAAGTCATCAGTACACCTTAAGTTGAATGGGAAATGTAGAGGAATCGAAACTTTTTCGGAATTTATGAAGTTAAAAATTTGATTACTTATAGACTTTTCGAATTCTGGAAATAAGAACGTGATATATTTGTAAAGAAAAAGTACTTCCACTGTTTAAAGGAAGAAAAGTTACGCTCGAAGTCTTTTATGCTTAGGCGTAAGCCGTTATATTAGACTAAACTGTATAAATTTTCTTGTTATGGAGATCAAAACTGGTTTTTCTTTTTCGAAACGTAAAAGAAAATGAATTACTTACTTTCTGCAGTCACCGCTGTGGTCCAAAAATGGAAACCTGTAAAGAGAGTAATAAATATAGATTAATTATCAGAAACTTAAATATTTATGAAGAAAACAAATAATTTCCAATAAATAATATTTTTAATACGTTAAGAACCTTTCACTTTAACAAAACAAATTAATATTTTTTGACATTTCATCATCAGTCCAAAACCAGACCATCCTGTATCCTTCACTGTATTTGTGAATATTGATGAACAAAAGCAGTGTTGGTCTTGCAAAAATGCCAAATGCAAGATTAAACGAAAAAATTTTACTTCCAGTGGATTTATGAGTTAAACTATTTGAAGCAATTTTAACGTAGGTACATAGAAAAAGTAGGGAAAGAGCGAATATAAAGATAGGAGACAAAAATTTAGAAGAAGTGGCTGATTTTAGATATCTAGGAAGTCAGATAAGTCAGGATGGAAGGAGTAGTAGGGATATAAAGCAGAGCATAGCGCAAGGTCGTGTCGCCTTTAATAAAAAGAACTCACTTCTATGTTCGCTATGTTTAGAAATTCGAAAAAGATTGTTAAAGGTGCATGTTTGGAGCGCGGCGTTGCATGGGTGCGAAAAATGGACATTGAGCGCGGCGGAAAAGAAAAGGTTAGAGGCGAAAGAAGGCGAATGATGATGATAACGTGGGTAGAAAAGGTTAGAAATGAAGAGGTATTAGAAAGAATAGGAGAACAGAGGATTTTATGGAAGTCAGTAAGAAATAGGCCAGATAGGTTAGTAGGACACCTTCTCAGACATGAAGGTCTAGTCAGGACATATTAGAGGCAGAAACGGAAGTTAGGAGGGGTAGAGATAGACCTAGGTTAGATTACTGTTCGCAAATAGTCAAGGTTGTGGGTTGTTTTAGTTTTAAGGAAATGCGAAGTTCAGCTGAAGAGAGGAAAGAGTGGAGGTACGTGTCCATCCAAGCCTAGGACTGATGACCTTAAGATGATGATTCTTTTCTTGGAACAAAACATTTTTTGTATTTGAAATTTTTACTTTGCTTTACTAGAAAATACTACAAATGGCGTGGTGAGCGCCATCTGTAGTACGATGCTACATTTGAGGATTACATATGTTCCAACAAGGTCCATTTAAAAATATGGATATCTACTTGCTGAAACGAATCCCGGCGTAGCTCACCTCAACGTGATAGGCACGTTACCATATTCGAACAACGCCATTTGTAGTATTTTCTAAAACGCGCTGTTAAGACAGCAGGTAAAGGTTGGTCTGTGTTCTGTCGGAGCTGCCTGCGACGCGCTGATGAGATCCAAAAAGATCGAAATCGCGATCCGCGTCTGGCAGTTTCGACGGAACACAGACCATTTCGAATTATTTTGTTTGCTTTACTAGATTTTAACACTAAATATAAAAAATGAATCTTTATCACTGTTTGAACAAATGGAATTATAAGAATGTCCTCGGACTTATTACTTCATTCAAGTATTTTGCACTTTTTGCTAAAAGGTCTATGTAAATACGAACGTTGTGCGTTTTACGCCAAATTAATATTGTACAACTAGTTAATTGGATTGTGATCATCTTTGAAGAATAGAAATTCACTGTTTTATTTAAAACATTTACTTGAACTTCTATTCTAACAATAAAACTAAATTTCAGCGTCTAAATAATAAATATTAAATAAATTATTTAATTCGTAACTATTTCGAATGGTTTACTGGAGCAAATCTGAATTTAGAATATCTAACGTTTCCATGCAAATCAATAAAAAAACACACCCACAAACAAACAAAAACTGATAAATCTTATTCTAGCAGGGGTGAATAAATGGAAATGAATCAAACAAAGAATATGGGAAACCTTGTCATTAGATACCAGCACAATAGTTACGTATAGTAACATTATTTTTCAGTTTGTAAGGGTTCTGAAAATACTCAGATAATATTTAAACTAGTCTTATTGTCACAAATTTATAATGTATAAAATTACAAATATGAATTTAAATTAACAACATTTCATGTACAAAAAAAGAGAAAAACTTATAGGACTTAACATTCTATTTATGCGTTAGAGGAAGAGTAAGTTTTCATAACTCTCACAACTATCGACAGTTTTCTTTGAAAGTCACGTCAAGCTCGCTTGAGTTATTATAATTAAGTATTTAAGACAATTATTGTGTCGGTATATAAATAGAACAATTATTAAAAAAACGTATATGATTGATGACTGAACAAGACCAAGACTCCTAATACGTAAGACCAAGACCGAGACTATATCAGCAAGACCAAGATATGATTCTAAGTAACCTTTCAGGCCCTACCAACTTATCTTGTTTATTTCTTAAAGATCGCCATAGCGCCCTCTGTTGTCCTGCTCTTTATAATACTTCCTCATTTCTACCCTTCTCTATCACCGAATTTTGAACATCCTCCTATAACACCACACCTCAAACGATCACAATAAATTAAAGTTCGTCGCACGTGTGCCAATCTTAATCTCATTCTAATAATTATAATAAATGAGCAGTCGCTATATGAGAGGAGTTGGTTAATTAATTCGACTGAATACCTCCGGGGCATGCGTAACAATGGATAGGGGCTTACTTACCTGTCGATTGTTCCCACCTACCATGTCTTAAGATATAATATATTAGCTTACAGCCTACATGTGTACGAAGTGGTTCAATGCCTGAAATAATTCACGAGTAGTGGATATACTTCAGGAGTGAATGAACACTGTCTGTATATCCATGTCAAAAAATTAGGTATAATATAGGAATATATAGATAATAATGAGATATTTTTTGTTGCGTTAATTCAATGTATTAGTGAATTAATTTTACCTACTACATATAACCTCAAATTAATGAGGAGTTAAAGTGTAACTCCTTGTAGCTTAGTAGTAGAGCATTGGTTCGTAAAACCAGGGATTCGGGTTCCATTCCCGGCGAGGGCGTAACAGCAGCAACAAATTTTCGTCATTAATTTGAGGTTATCGGTAGTGATAAAAATTAATTCTCTAAAAACCCTATAAAAATTCTTCTAAATAAACGTGTTCAGTATGAAAATCATATAATTTGAAGATAAAAAAATAATCCTTAATTCGTAAATAAGTATCTATCCGTTACGTAGTACACATCTGAATTTCTGGAACACGAACACGGGGTTACTTTGAAGAAGCAGGGGGAAGTGGAGGGACAATAGGAAACTAAAACAATTTTGCAAACTGTACCGTGTGACACATCAAATGAAAGAGCTTGTTATGAAGGCCTCAAATATATTTTTTTTTTGTAATTTTAAAATAGTTTTAAAGTTATTTAAGAAAACAAATGAAAATTGACCATTCCCCCCCTTCTTATCTTCGAAGCTACTGAACCTAAAATTTCGAAAAGAAAATCAGAAAATAGTTCTTTACTTATGGATTACAGGAAAATTAATAAGAAGTCTATGGTCTGAACGTAACATGGAAACCCTTATTTGTCCGTTTTTTAATTAATTCATAGATAGAAAGTGCAGTTGAATGTGCCTACTAAACCATTTCTACGTTATTGACGCTTTATGATTGGTACGTACTTTCAGCTCATATTTTCGTGCTAATTACGTTTCGTTAATAATTTTTGATTGTAAATTACACGTATGTAGCTAATTTTAATATGAAAACTTGTCTTAAAGAAACTTACTAGTGCACGTTTTACATTAAACAACATTTTTACCTTTATACAATATTGCATGGAAATATTTTTACTGGCATTTATAACTTTATGGGTTTGACGACATTTTGTGCTATAGAAAAGATAACTGCCACATTACTCTTTTATGGGCGGAAATATGGTAATATTTCTGTGTACAGGTAGCATAAGACCCCCTTAAGGATTCTATTAAAATGTTAATATTCCTTCTTGTTAAACAATTGCACAAACTGTCCTTTATGAACAGTTTGTTAGTATTTGTTAATATTTTCGCCAGTTTAATACATCAATTTTAAATTTACACAGTTTACTTGCTTACTCAGATTCCATTCTAGAGCCAAACAAAACCCTTATAAATTGTTATAAACCGTTTTTGATGCACTCGTAATTTTAGGTTCTATGCGTTTCCCCCTGTCATAACTATTTAAAAAATTTTATTATGCATCCATCGGCTTTCGTATTAAAGCAGCCGTATTCATCTCTCTGCTTCTCGCCATGGGCTCCAAATGGTAGTCCTTACAAGGATGCAGTTTGTTACCAGAAACCCAAAATACGCATTTCGTGTATACTTAGGCTTTACTATAGGGTTGTTCGGAAAGTCATTTCGTTTTTTTTTGTGGAAATGAAAGACAGTTTTCGTATAATAAACAAATACTTTATTAAATAATATATTGACCGTTCTGGTCCAACACCTTTTGCCATCTTTCTGGTAGTAGCATAATTCCACGCTCATAAAATTTTTGGTCTTTGCTGGCAA